GTGGTGGTGGTGGTGGCGGTAGTAGCAGCAGTAGTATGTGGGAGAGTGCTAGTGGTACTGGTAGTGGTACCGGTATTGGTAGTGGTAATGGTAGTGGTGGTGGTTGTTGTGACAGTTGTAAAGTACCGAGTTCTCCCCGAACTCCTTGGGCATCTTTCCCAACGGTCTATCCGGTGCTTGTTGTTCTCCTATCTCGCACTCCCATAACGACAATCCATAATTTGTTTGTCCTCGCTGGTCTGAGAGTAATCAAGACTTCCAGGCGGCGATTTAATGGACACGGAACATACCAAAACGAGTCTTGCCAGAATCTTTGGGTGTTGATTTCAGAACGGTGTTGATTGCTGTGAAAGTCTAGCTTTTGGGCCCTGATGGTTCCAAGAAGAAGAGTACATCGCAGAGCAGGAACAACAACCACTGCGGGGATCAGCTTGTCAATGCACCTAGCCTGCCAGGATCCGGCGATAATCACCACCGCCAGCAAACAGTACCGTGAAACGAGCAATTATTTACCTCTTCGGCCGTTCTCATGTATATTGTAGTCTGGCCAGAATGCCCCTGGATATCGCCGCCATCATAGTCCACAAGTTTGTTGAGCAAGCCCTTGGGGCGCTGCAAAACTGCTCCACTCCTCATGTTGTTTCTCATGAACCATGTGTTTTCTGCGTCAGCTCCGCGAGTCCCGGTTATGCAGAAGCTGATTACCTTGATGATTCTCCTTGTCATCATGATGCACATTCCCATATTCCGTTCGGTTAGAGTATATTCCGTTTGAACTGGTTTATGAGGGTGACGACCAGCATCGCCACCAGGATCGTCATCATCATCACCATCATCATCATCATCAGCATCGGCACCCTCATCAGCATCAGCATGCGGATCATTGCCATGACGATGACGATGATGATGATGATGATCATCATCATCATCACCATCCACCAGCATCACTATCGTCACATCGTCGGCAGTGCCACTACGACCACCACCGCCGCCGCCACCGCCGCCGGCACCACCACCACCATCATCCACAGCAGCAGCACCGTCATGTCACCCTCACTGTCACCGTCACGGCCCTCCTCTCCTCCCTCTCCTCCTCCTCCTCCTCCTCCAGCAGCAGCAGCAGCAGCAGCGGCAGCAGCAGCGGCATTGTCAGCTCTGATGATGACATTGACATACTGCAATGATGGCGGCTGTTGTCTTCATTGCTCCTGATCTGTTGTTGCTGCCATGTCCACTCCATTGTCATTGCAATTGAGGCCCTTGGCCACGCTCGGGGCCTGCAGTGGGCCAGGCCCCGACTAAATCTGGATCATCATGTCATTTTGCTAGCTTTGCACTTAGGGCGCCGACGCCATGCCATCATGTCAATACAAGATTGGCATATGCTGTTGAGGTAGTTCTTTTGTCATAGAGGTGCGCTTTTCCAGAATTGTCATCCTTGCAGGTGCTTCAAAGATCGGAGCGACTTGCAGCAGCCAAGGGAGAGCAAGGCCTGTCCCCCAGAAGGCCTCCACGACAGAACGGCGTCAGCGATCGAGCACCGGCGGTTACGGCGCCACGCAGAAAGCCCTGGTCGAAGCACCTAGCAGCGTGGAACCCGTTCACCCTGTCGCTGCGGATGTTCTGGAGCTTCCAGACCACCCATCAGCCCCAGCTGCCACTGCATCGGCAGCCACATCATCGGCCAACCCAAACAACGCAAGGCTTCAGCGCCGCGCAACAGTGCCTGCAGCAGCGATTCCCTGCGCTGCAGGGCTCCGGAGCCGTGCTGCATGGAAGAAAGCTATCGCTGCGGCTCAGACAGCCAGAGCGGTGGTGGAAGGTGGTGAGGTATCGACACCAAGATCGAAAGGCAGCAGCGAGCGTCAGGACAGCGCCCAGAAGACGGTCTGTCCTTTCTCTCGGAGAGACCAGCGTGAGAGCGCTGTCGCAGCCGAGGCCAAGCTAAAGCAGCTAAAGGTCAAGGATGAGTCGGTCCCTGGTGAAGCGCAAGAGGCTAGGATTTCGCAGGAGCTGCAGCAGCTTCAGGATCTGCAGGATCAGCAAGAAAGGAGGCTGACTCATGTGCTGGGGAAGTCCCAGCAGCTTTCTGCTGGATTGGACGCGGAGAGGGGAGAAACTAGGGAGGAGGCGAGGCCAAGGAAGGTGAAGGATCCGAAGGTCCAGGCCCAGGAAGCGCCCAAGGATGCGGCTGACTCGCCCTCTCGTGGTTTGCGGGCTGCAGCTGCCTTTGCCAGCGACCGGGCGGCACCAGACCTGGAGCCGAGCCTCTGGGATCAACTCCTCCAGGAGGCCGAGGAGGCCCAGCAAGGGGCCCAAGGGGCCCAAGGAGCCCAGGCACCGAAGGTCACGGCAGCGAAGCGCCGCTCCTCCCCGAGAAGAAAAGGCCGGAACAGAATATAAAGAGCCACAGGTTGTGTAGGCTTTTTTGTGCCAGGCCAGCAGCCGCAGCAAAGCGCCCAGTCACAGCGGACCTCAAGGCCGAGACGAGCGGAGAGAGCGGAGAGGGCGAAGAGGCCAATCGAGGCCTGCAGCGAACCATGGACAGGCCACAAAGCGAAGTTGATGCCACGCTGCCGCCCGGGCCTTTGCCGCAGAATGACGGGACTTCTTTTTGTTGTCTACCTCACCGCACAGCGCCCAAATGCAGAACTTCGAGCCGTGGAAGCGATGGCTTCTGCCGAGCAATGACTCTTGCGAAAATCTGCTGCCAGCTGCTACTGCTACCATCCGATCGAGGCCCCACAGGCTTCCCTTAGCACTTTTCTGCCAGGCGACGCCGCTCGGCCGTTGAGCGGCGGCCCGCTCGACACCCAGTGATGGGGTGCTCGGACTCCGATTCGAGTCCCCCAGATACGAAGCACTGAAGCCCCACAGCGCAGCCGAGCCCAAAGGGCTTTGCCCCTCACAATCGGTTCATCAGAAACGAAGAGACAGGACCTGCAAGCTGTTGCTGTGCGAAAGGTCTGCCATCGCTCAGCTTCACGGGATACAAGCCGAAACTCTGTGCAGAAGGCTCGAGGGCGGGACCGAGGGAGGGAGCCTGTGGCCTGCACCTCCTGGGGAGGCCAGTCCGAGGAGCGAGAAAGCGAAAGGCACAGGCTCGGAGGATTTTGCTGACGGGTCAGGGTAGAGAGAGTTTTTCACTCTTGCAGTGCTGGAATCTTCGGCAAGCAGTATGGCCCAGAGTCGTCTATACCTCATAGGTCACCGAGGGCCAGGGCCATTCCGTTCTGCGTACGGCCGGTGATTTCATGATGGCTACTGGTCGAAGGTGTCCGGCCGAAGACCGACAGTCAGATGGAGACCCTGCAGGTGGCTTTTCTGCATGGAGGCTTCCCAGGATGTGGCAAAGCTTCCGTTTTGCAAGGGGGCCGATGGGGAACCGACCAAAGCCCAACTTCGGGACAGCTATGCGTCGACATGATTTATGCCACGCGCCCCACGACTTGTCACGACTTTGTGATTTACCCTGCGTATGGTCGCAGGACACGACGCCGGAACAGACTGACACCCCCAAAGTTTGCTGGGCCTCCTCGGAATCACCCGTGATCAGCGAGCAAGGTGGTGAGAGACCCTTGGCCTTGGACAGTGTTTCAGAACATGGTCTCCCCTTTCTGCCTGGGATGCAGCCGGGAAGGTATTGTCGAATTCTCGCATGTCGTTTGTAGTTTGGGATGCCTGCAGCTGCATCGGCTGCATCTTCCTTACCAAGCAGAAGGCGTGAGATGTGCTACTAAGGACATGCCGGCCGGATCGCAGCAAGTGTTCCAGGTCCAAAGAACGACTCTGGCCTTTTGCGCCCTAGAAGTGCGGCGGCAACCGCACCGCGGCTGCATCATGTTCTCTTGCAGGTGCCCCCTTTGAAGTGAGCCCAGGACGCAGAGAAGAAGCAGCCTCCACCGGCAGCGATCGAGGAGGTTGCGCTGAGCGATAGCCCTCTCCACAGGAGACCAGCGTGTCCACCTTGCGACTCCTATTCACGCGGTCCCAGTCCCTCTAGGAGCATCTGCGAGATGCCATCGCTCCGGCCGAAGCCCAGCGTGCAGAGTCAGAGGCGCTGTGGGTCCCCGCGGTCGCTGGCCCGGCCTGGCCCTGCACTCCGCGCGTTTTCAGCCCGGCAGGGATGGCGGCGGGTCGGCGGGGACGTTTCGATTTCCTCGGGAGGCCTGTGCCCTGGCCGTTTGCTTTGCCGAGAGCCGAGATGTCTCCATGTCGCTCGAGCTGAGCTCAGAAGCTTTTCGGTTCGCCAGGAGTCATCTCTGGGGTCGTATCTCCTCCACATAAAGTCACTATACCTGACCCTTCGGTGAGCTCTCATTGCAGTAGACCCGCACAAATCGTAAGTTCATGGACTGCATGCAGGGCAGCATAATTAGAGCTTGCAGCACAGGGTGGCATGTAAAAAAACGCTTCTACAGAGCCTGAGTAACACCCTTTTCACCGCCTTGCTTACATTGACAATATTCATGCATGTGAAAACGGGACACTGCATCTGCACCTCTGCAAGATGACGGAATGCGATTGAAGAGCTGGCTGTGCTGGAAGAGTGCCCCACGAGAAACTGCTTCCGCAGCGAAGACGTCAAAGCCTGATGCCGGGTGTCCGGAGCACGTGAAACCGCTGCTGCAGGTCAAGGCTCTGCAGACGATTTGCTTACAGAGGAGGGGTGCCGTGTTGCGGCTGAAGGATTCCTTGAAGAAGGTCGATCCCGAACCCTCCTTGGCACGCCTCTCGGCGGTGCAAGCAGCGTCCGCGACCCTGCGGAAGCAGCTGCAAAGTGGGGGCAGAGCCGAAGTTGAAGGGAACACCGCCAGGACCGGCGAGGTCGCGGGCGGTTCTCTGTGCGACTGCAAAGAAGCCGCGGAAGGACATGCGCACGGCTCAGGCGAAGCGCCTGAGACAGAGCTGTGCAGCAGCCCAGTGCAGCGGACGGCAGCCGCATGGAGGGTCGAGGCTTCGAGACTAAGCCTCGCCCTGTCAGAGGCTCAGAGAAAACACCGGCAGAGGCTCGCGGAGGTAGCGGGTCGCTCCCTTTGTGCGCCCCAGGACTGAACGGCGCCGACTCAACGAGTGTCTCAAGCTCGAGGTGAGCTGAAGTTCTGAAGGGGTCAGGAAACGGAGGATCCGCGCAGAGTTTGATGTTGCTGGCTTGCCCTGAGAGGTGCAGACCTTGGAGAGTGCCTTCCAGTCCTTGATCCAGCTCGGCGACCACCAGGTGGCAGACCTCTCCTGTGTTCAGGACACATCGCACAGCACACCCGTCAGGTATCCATCGTCCTAAAGCACAATAAGTAAAGTCTCGCACCGAACGTCGCAGATTCTGCAAACTTCTCAAAGGAGCGGAATGCAACACTGTCGCAAGAGCACGAGCAGTCGAGCCTGGAGTGCCGGGAGCATCACCGTGACTACTGGCAAGAGCAGGCCAGGAATCGGGGTTCGGCTCGCACCAGTAATGCCGGGTGCCACCATGATAAAAGTCAGGCTCGTGGCTTCATGCAATGTGGAGGCACCGTTTCAGGGGTCGGACATGGACGACGTGGACGGGTTGCAGCTACGTGCGGCTGGCCTCCACAAGGAGCTGAGCAAGTTGGAGGCCAGGGCGAGGGGCGGAAGGTGATTCCGGTGTAGCCAGCGAGCGAGCGAGCCAGCAAGCAAGCGAGCAAGCAAGCAAGCAATTATGCGCAGCTTATGCTGTCCAGGCCAGCACGAGCACTGTAGATGTTAGATGTACCAAGTGCTTGACAGTCCGGGTTCGCCTGGCAGTGTTTCGGGGCCAAACAGCTCCCAGTGCAAGCCACTGCGGAATCTCGAGCCAACCAGGCCAGGCTCCTGGATGCGCGAAGTGCTGCCGACAGCGCGGCCCAGGACCCCGAGGGCTAGGATGGACTCGGGCCAGGATTCAAGATCGAGACCCGAGAGTTCCCATCATACATCTCCGTCCGAACAAAGAGCGTCCGGTTGCGCTTTGGTCACTGCAGACCGGATGCAAACAACCTCCAAGATTTCAGGATCCCTTGAGTCTTTTAAGGGGAGGCCTGAGAGTGCATCTCAGTACGCCGAGAAAGCCCACCGCACGGCTTCTCTGAAGTGGTTTCGGGTTGGAGCTCTTTCCAATTCCCACCGTTGCGTGCTCTTTCGTGAGTTGACTGCGGGGAAGGACGCTTTGGGTGCCGCACGTGGCGTTCTCAACAAGAGCATCGAGGCCCAGGAAATTGCAGGAAATACCTGTAAGACAACCTCCGGCAGGTTGCTTCAATCTCTTGTTCTCTTGTTTTTCCGGGTCCTTCCTGTGCCTGCTGGCTGTGCTTCTGTTCAGAAGAGCTCCAGAGGCTAAGCTGAACACTGGGGCAAACGTCGTCGCGATGATAAGCGGAGTATCGACTTTGAGTCAAGTTGGGGCTTTGTCGGAAGCCTCAAGTGGTCAGAGAGCTTCCGTCGGTGCGGAGGCTGCGTTGCAGTCGCCCAGTGAGGGATCCCCTCCAGACCCGAGCTCAGACGCTTCTCTGTGAGGTGCGCGCAGAGTGTGCACTGGAGTGTTCGCAGGTCTCCAAGGAGGCCAAGGAGGCTGGTGAGGCTCAGCCCCAGCCCGCTCAGGGCTCAGCCAGGCCTTGGCTCCTGTTGCGCCGGCTCCAGGGCTTCTGCAAACGTCACCGAGGCCTTTGACGAGCCCGAAGGCGAATTAGCTGCGGGCGACGAGGACCGGAGAGGACATCTGGGGACTGCCCTTGCCGGCTGCTGCCGCAGAGGACGCCAACAGCGACCTCGGGAGCTTCGATGAGCTGCCGGAAGCGGAAGCGGAGGAAGCGGAGGGAGCGGAGGAAGCCGAGGGGGTGCGCGCGGAGAGCGATGGCATCCGCGACGGGCATGGCGAGCATGGCCATGGCACCGGCAAGGAGGCAGAGGCGGATTCTCTCGGTGCTCCGGTGCTGGGGTCGTCCCGTACAGTGGCAATCCGTGAGCAAGCACAGCCCGCAACGTCGGACAAGGAACTGGGCTTGGACATTGGCCATGCAATCAAGAGCATGTCGACGCTTTGGCAGCTTTTGCAAGGATTTGTCCATCTCCGGCTCCCCATCATGTCGTCACATGTATTTAAAGTGTGCTGCCGACACCTGCCGACTAAGGAGGCACATCGAACGGTTTGAACGTGCCAGCAGAACAGCCCGAATCGCACCTCCTCCATCAAGCCCCGATGCAGCCGTCCACTCTAGTGGGGCAACTACAGGTGCGAGTCCTGAAGGGCCTTTGTGTAGGAACTTCCACAGACCTGCAATCCAAAAGAATTGTGCTTGAGTTCTGCCACAATCACTCGCACTTTGCAGCTGCAAAGCTGACGGTCAACTCGTACCTAGGTCCTTAGCATGATGTGACAAGCTTCGGGCTGCTCGGGGTCAACCTTTCTGAGCTTCCTGCAGGCTTCCAGCCGAAGTTTGCGACGGATCCACGGGGTCCCTAAGTCTGGATCCCAAACCCTAAACCCGAAACCCTAAACCCTCAACCCGAAACCCTAAACCCTAAACCCACTTCCCTGGAGGCTCCCTTCGGCAGACGGCTGCAGGGTCGGAGCCCGCAAGGCCTGGCTTGAACCGCTCGTCGCCTCCACATGCCCCCAGACTCCTAGAATCTCCTGGACTCTAGCCTACATGTGAGCCGTCTTGCATACACTCAGCCGTTGCGCATGCCAGGATCCTGGAAGAGACGGTGAAAGAAAATCGTACGCTCCAGCTTCAAATCGAACATTGCCGAGAGAGGTTGCGGCAGAGGTTTCTGCAGCAGGAGATTGCCCAGCACCGACTGAAGGCAAGGCTAGCAGAGGCAGTCAGGCGCTTCCTTTTTAAGCGTGTTTTGTTGCCAGAGCCTCCCTCCCAAAGAGCCTTTAAAGATCCTTCAGCCACTTTAGCCTCGGCTTTGACTCGCTTTGCAAAGGGCCCCTTTTGCCAGAGGCTCAGCTCCAAAGTGCTCGGCCGGCGGCTGGCGGCCGCCACGCGCCGGCCGTGCCTCGCGGGATCAGGCCTGGCACTGCTGGCACTGGGCTGAGGCAGTTCGCCTGAGGCGCCCTCGGGTTTAATTCGGGTGAGGCTCTGTTGGAAATGCAGGCAGCGCCCCCTTTTTCCAGCAGAGGCTCCTTGCACGAATTCAGGCAGTGCGAGCTGCTGTGTCAAGACGGCATGGCCTCCGTGCCCGCGTCGATTGCAGGGGCAATTCCAGCTTGAAAAATCTTAATATTAAGATGCATCTATGCAGGTGTGGCTGGCTTCAGAAACGGTCAGAAAGACGGCGCCGACAGATGCCGATAGTGGCAACCGGCACACTTTTTTCATGCGCGGATGAGATTCTGTTCGCCTAGGCTGGATCTTGCAACTTGGGGGATGATGAGCAGCTGAGCTGAGAAGTCAGTTCAACTCTAAAGGCTTGGATAGCTCTCATAGCTCTGCACTGCGACTATGCGAGGTTAGACTTCGCGACAGCGGCTCCGGTGGCTTTCTTCCAGGTTCGAAACAGGAAGGGCGCGGTATGGCACGGTCATCACCTTAGTGCCAGGAGTTAGCCGCCTTTGACCGTGCAGCACCGATGCCGGGCCCCCTATGACACACACCAGACGAAATGTGCGACGTGCGGGCCAATGTGGGCGGGCCACACATTGCAGGATCAAGCCTGCAAGCTTGCTGGCCCGGCAGACGGACACCAGGCAAGCACAGCATAGCACTGCAGACACCACCCTGTTGACCAAGTTCTGCGATGCTAGAGCAAGTAGCAAGCCCGACAGAGGTAACAGACTCTGGTGGTGACAAGGAAGCTGAGATGACTAGGCCTGGTTATTTCTGACATTCGAACAGTAATGGCCATGACCATGAACGACCGCCGCAACCTGGACAATGTCGGAAAGTGCCAGACTTTGCGGTTAATGAAGTGCGTTTCACGTGTGCCAAAGTGTGCTCTTACGTGGCTGGGCATCAAAGTAGCCCATGCCATGCCTCGCTACCACCGGAGAGGGTGGTATGTGCCGTGGAAACCACGTCGCATGCCTGTCGTCCAAGACATGCAAAATCCAAGCTGCATGGAGGAAGAGCCTAAGTTGCTGAGACTAGACCCTGAACATTCACAAGCTCCAAACCAAGCAAAACCAGCGAGACACTGCAATGTGATTCCCCGCCAAGTCCCCAATGCACATCTCAGAGCATCACGACTTTGTGGTTCAAGCAACGCTGCGCCTCGGGCAGTGGGGAGGGCCGCTACCATGGCCCAGAGGCAGGGACTCCGGATCTTCACGTAGGCCGTTTTTTGAATCGGGGTAGCATGAGACAAGGGGTCCGACGGGTCAAAGGATCGTTGGACAGTTGGTCACCCATGATTGCTCATGACGGCCCTCGCCACAAGCTCATACTGTTGTCCCATCTGTTGGGTCAGGAATTCCTGTCGAGCAATCGTAGCCTGGCCTTACCCGTGAAGTCCATCATAAACCCCTGATCGTTCCATTTATGGCTCTTCCGGTGGCTGTTGTTACTGGCGCGAACTCTGGCTTGGGGATGGCGCTGAGTGTGAAGTTGGCGCGGAACCACTTGGTCTTTGCGGGAATGCGCAGCTTAGCAAAGAAGGATTCCTTGCTCCAGGCCGCGACGAAGGCCGAGGTTTCGGGCAACGTCCGTGCAATCGAAGTGGACGTAAACACGGACGCTTCCGTGGAGAACGGGCTTGTCCCTGCATTGAAGGAAGCTGGTCGTGTCGACGTGCTGGTGAACAATGCTGGTTACAGCCAGGCAGGCAGTGTTGAGATGCTGGCCATGGAGGCAATGAAGGCTCAAATGGAGACAAACCTTTATGGCGTTATCAGATGTCAGAAAGCCGTGCTTCCCTTCATGCGCCAGCAGAAGGCGGGCAAGATCATCAACATCTCGTCAGTCGGGGGTATTTGGGGTCAGCCTTTCAACGACATCTACTGTGCGTCGAAGTTTGCTCTCGAAGGCCTGACAGAAAGCCAGGCAGCACTGTTTCGTACTTTCGGTGTACATGTCTCCTGCGTGGAACCCGGTGCGATCAAGTCTGCTTTCTGGGCCAATGCACAAATGCCAGATACCAGTGTTATGCCAGCAGAGTACCAGAAGCCACTGCAGTCGACCATGGGGGCATATGGCAAGTCCTCAAGTGTTGGACAGACGCCTGATGAGGTCGCAGATGTGATCATCGAGCAGATTATTAGCGCGGCAAGCCCTCCGGTCCGTGTCCAGACGAACCCCAGTATCCAGAAAGTTTTCGAGCAGCAGCTGGGGCAAAACATCTCGGGAGAAGTCGCAGCCCAAATGTCGACTACTCGCTTCCTCAGCGACCTCTAACTCCATCGTTTCAATCGGCTTTGCGGCATTAATGGCCAGTGGTCCAAGCTTTTCAAGATTTCCTTGTCCAGTGTTCCGACTTCCTTCGCCGAGCTTCGCTCCCTGATCGTTGACAGCGCCTGGGCACAGCCCGCCGTGCATCAGTCGTGCGCAGCTGTCTCGTTTCCTCTGGCTTCTGCCCCGAAACCGGTGCTCTGCACATGTCTGAGCCGTCAGCGGGGCAGATTCCTTGACCACACCAGGCTACCGAGTACGTCGGCTTCCTCGAAGAGGTAAAGGCGATTTCCTGGCCTCCAAGGCTGGGCTTTTCGCAGCTAACTTCAACTTCATGTTCTGACTCTTGCAGAAGGCGGACGAGTTGGCTGAAGTTCTCAAGCACTCTTGCATCAGAGTCAGAGCTTGCCTGCAGGGGAGGGGCGCAGACCCACCAAGAAACCCTTGCAGACCAGAAGTGTCCAGGACTGCGGGGGATCGAGTTTGGATTCGTGACTTGTGTACCATTCAGCTATGATCTATACAGGACAAGTCACGAAAAAAACATGTTGCAACACCATCAGGTAGTGCATTGTCTGGCGGGGGGTTCAGGGGGGAATATGACACCAATTTACTGTAATGTAGAGTCGTACTCTATTCATACGCATGCACGTGCATCTATCTATCTTTCCGCCTCTCTGTCTGTAATTTATCTGCCTATGTATAAGCCGCATCCACCTGTCCTTTGTATCTGTGTATCTATGTGTCTGTCTCTATCTTTCTGTCTATCTGTCTACCTGCCCATCTGTCTATCTATCCATCTTATCTGTCAATCTGTCTCTATCAATCTATCTGTCTACCTCGCTGTCCAGCCTGTCTGTCTGTCTGTCCGTCCGTCCGTCTGTTTGTTTGTGTCTGCCTGTCTACCTAATCACTTGTATATCTTGTTCTGTTTATGGTTCGATCTACCTACCTATGTGTCTGTCTGTGCATCTATCTGTCGATGTATCTACCTTTCTATCTGTGAGTAGATGCATTGAACAAAAACGAGGTCCCCCCCACAGCGAGTTTTTGTTTTTTGCACCGCTGGCCGCATACGTATGTATACCGTATACCCGGCAAAAATCCTTTAGGCAATCAAAACATCCTCAACACAGACACCCGCAATAGTACATAGATGCATATAACTGCATATACACTGACCTACAGTGTGAGAATTTCAAGAGGCATGAATGCACGCATGGATGGATGGATGGATTACGACGGGACGGACGGACGGACGGATGGATGGAGGGTAGGATATATGTACATGTGCATGCATGTAGAGGCATGCATGCTTGCATGCACGGACACTATGGAATGCATACTATACAGGTATCGGGCAACCTGATACAGGAAGTTTGATGTCGGTCTAGCATGAAATGAAATACAACCACAGCTTGAGATGCAGTGCTGTGGTGTTCTTGTAGGTGTGGGTGTATGTTGTGGCACTAGGCGTCACTAGGCAGTCTTGACAGGTACACATATGCGGAATTAATTCTAGTTGCGTGTGTAGGAGCAACAAGAAGATGCGTACATAATTTAGTTTCTTTACAGACAAAGGCAACACACAATATAAGAGTATCTTTTACAGGTATTCAACTTCTACATGCTATGATAATTCGTGCACTCTAGGACATCAGGCATATCAGATACTCTACATCATCACATGTACTCGTACATGCACAGAACTTCATCGGATGACAGCTTTCCACGTGCATTTACAAGACGACTTCTAATCTGGCAATCATCATCATCATCATCATCACATCGTCACCATCATCATGTTCATCATCCGGGCCGACGGGAAGAGCGACAGCCGCAAGCACTTTCAGTCACGATCACGATTAAAGCTGCGGCACAAGCAACATCCTACACACACGGACATGTTCATTAATTTCGTACATGTATATATGATGCAGGGCTGTCACACCCCCTTCCCCCACACACCATGGTATCCTCCCCCGTTTCCGCCCATACCGAGGTATATGTATTATAATGTGTATATGATTGTATATGTACATAGGCATCTCCATATCATCTGCCAGGTTGGTGGGCTTGACAGCTGTCGGGACCTTGGCGGCCTGCAAGTGAAAGTTAGCCTGCCGAACTTGGAGACGGCAGAAATCCGAGATGCTGGCATTCTCCGGGCTGCGGAATGCCCTCGTTATCTGCATCGCCGCGGTGCCTCGGTGTCACGATGTGGAGTTGTGTTGTTGTGTCATGCAGGTGGCTGCAGCTGGTCATGGATTCGGGTGGAGTAGCCGCATGTTTGGACCTACTCCAGTTCCCCAAATTCCCAGAAACAATTTCGATGAAAGTTTAAGTTGCATGCAGGAGCCGTAGCTTCTGAAAGGTGCTCGTCAGCCTTAGTGCTGCACAGACCGATGTCGTCACTCCCTGGGTAGACGCCAGCGACTTATTCGGAGCCGAGTCCGAGCAGACTGCTACTCGTACAGTAGTTGTAGTTGTGTCCGAGAGGTCTGTACATCAGAGGACTTCTCAGCAGAGGACCGCGAAGAGCTGTGCCCCGCAGCCACCCGCTCAGCCAGTGTCCCCTGGATGCTTCGCTGCTCTTTCGGTGTTCTCCAAGTTTCAGATGTTGCTTTTGTAGCCTGATGTCAAGCTGCCGAGACCTTCGTGGTGTCGACGCTGGCCTACAACCCGCTTTATCCAGGGCGTCTTGACTGCACTTGTTAAGGTCTTGTCCGGCTTCTTCCAGGGACTCAGGGACGATGTTGCCAGGAGCCTTGCCAACATCACCATTATACTGCAACCTGCAAGGGCCTCGACTGAGCTGAAGAAGTCTTTTCTTGACTCCCTCCGACGCCCAGTCCAGAGATCTGCCGAGCAGCATCCAGCGGACGCAGTTGCGGCCTCGTCCGGGAAGTTGCGGCCATGGCATCACGGGAAGCCGCTCCACTCTCCTGACCTGAGGTACATCGACTTCAACCTTGTTGGCTTCGAAGCCGTCGGAACGCAGAACACTGCGTTGCATCCTTTGCTGGTGAAAGCCAACATCCTCAGAGAGTCTTGGTCGCTTGATCTTGCTTGTGCTGGCAAGGAACGCCCTGATTCGAGACCTCGAGATCACTGCTGGCAACACAGTGGCCTGGGTGAAAAAGCATGTGTGAGCTCTGAAATCGAAGTGGTCATCTTCATCGTTGACATATGGAACCAGCTGACACCCAGCTTTGGTGCTTGTGAACCTCGATGCAAGGTTCCTTTGGGAGTGGATCCGCTGTTTGGCGAGAGCCTAAGTGGTGTGAGTCGACAAGTTTGGGGTCGAAAGTCGGCTCCTGCCAGGCTACAACACGGAGCAGAATCCGCTTTTTACCACCCCCGCGCTGTGCATCTGACATGGTCAACGAATGTTATATTCAGCTGCAATGGTTCAGTTCAACAAAGGCAAGATGAAGTTCTGAGAGTTCCGTGGCGTCATGCGTCGCCAGGTACAATCTCAACTCTAGGCTCCTGAGACTAACAGCGGTGTGCCGAGCTTCGTGATAAATCGAGCAGTGGAAGTCCATGTTTTAACTTCTCTGTAGTGAGGTGCGGACTGGGCAATCGTTGCTGGCCGGCACCGACACAGAGGTGACGATTTGCTGCCGTCAGCTCAGAATCGGGGCGGGCGATGGAGGTGCTTTCCTGAAGCACGTCCGAAAAATCTTGTCGCAGGCATGAGGCTTCCCACATCCTCTCCGCAGGATTTTTCCGCCTTGGCCCCGTTTTCACTCCAAGGGACCCACTCTCCGCGCTTTTTGCTTGGATGCTTGGCCAGGGCTATACGATCTCGGGCCCGACGTCCTTAGATACACTGACTTCTATCAACGAGGACATCCAGCCGCGTCCGAAAGACAGCAAGCCATAAGTCGAGTCTGGGAGACACGAGGAGCCGATCCTGAACTCGCCGGAAATCGACCCTGGCCTTCAGTGGGAGTTCCTCCGAGCCAGAACCCTTACACCCATTTCGGTGCGAAGTTATCTTTTTGGCAGCTGACTTTATGATGCATCGCGTGTTTTCAGGTTGCCTTTGCTCCGCCAGCCTCACCCTCGGCTTTTTTGTTTGGCTGGGGGCAGCTGTGACTAGCAGGCGAAAGCTCGCCCTTCGCAGGTTTCCTCTTCCCTCACCATCATTCACCTCACCATTCGGCCTGCCAACCCACTGACCGATCGCCTCGTGCTTAGAGGCTTAGATCTATGTGCCAGACATGGTGCTTGCAGAGGGATGTTCGCAGGCCAGTGTGCATGAAATAGGGTTCCTGTCTCGACATTGGTGTGGCTCGCGCCCGCATTTCGTCGCACTTGAATGTACCTTCCGGCTGTCCAGTTAGCCTGAAACAAAGCTTGTCAGCATTGCCCCATGGGCCCTGGCCACTCCAACCTGACGACCTGCTAGGCTGCATCTTCACTCACCCACGCAGTCACTCACTCACTCACTGGCCGTGGTGGGGCATTCGAAGTCAGGGTGGGTTACACTTGGGGTGGTTCTGCCACTCGCACACACCGGGGTCTGAACATTGCTCGTGGACTACAGTCCTTTTTCTCTTCCTGCCGGTTCGTGAAGCCCCTCTTCCTACTAGAGGAACCGGCTGCGGGCGCAGTACCGGACACTGTGCAACCATTTCGGCAAACGTGAAAGAGCAGATGCCATTTCCCGTCCAATAAGGTGCTCGCATCATTCTGTCTATGCCCCTCGTGCAGCGAGAGAACAATGTGCGATGGGCCAAGTTTCCCCCTTTTCTGTCAGCTATGCTTGTGTTCCGAACAAAACACCATTCGTCTGGAAAACTCTCTCACCGAAGTGACGAAGAGACTATAATGTACTATACTATACTATACTATACTATACTATACTATAATATACTATAATATACCATAATGTACCATAATGTACTATAATGTACTATAATGTACTATACTATACTATACCATGAGCGGACTCTGAGGAGCGGCGAGGTGAACTTCAACACGGCAAACAGCCTGGATGGGGCTGACCGGGCCCCAAAAGTGACAGCTTCATAGTATAGTATAGTATATATTATAGTACATTATGGTATATTATAGTATATTATAGTATATTATAGTATATTATAGTATATTATAGTATAGTATAGTATAGTATAGTATAGTACATTATGTCCGCCATTGCATTCCATGCTTCGCAGGATTGGATGTTCTTCGAAAGCAGGGCGTTGTGGGACGCCATGGAGGGGAAGCTGACCTTCTTCATCAGAGAGGGCAGGGCCTGGGCCCTTGATGGCTTGTTTGAAGCCTCTGCTGCCCCGGCCTTTACTCTAGTGCCTCAGGTGCTCGACCGTCAGGTCACATTGTCAACAGAGCCCGATGAGCAGGGTGCCTACATCTGAATCAGGGGCCCGTGTTGAACCCTGCACTCTGTCTTGTTCTGTCTTGTACGCATGGTTGCACCCCAGCCGTATCGGATGTGCCCTGCATGCAGAGCTACCTCTGTAGGACGCTTGCAGTTCTGCAGGTTTCGGCTTCCAATCGAACTCGAAGCTGACAGTCCCACTCTCGAGGTGGCCACGGGCTGTGCACCAGCAGACAATTTCTTGAAGGGCCCATGGCTTTCTTCTCGGCTCCTCTCTGACAGGTCTCCGCGAGATCCTTCGATAACATCGATGAGGTAGTACGGGAGACCCCTGCCTGAAGCTCGGGCTGACTCTGACTTCACGCAGATCCGCGGAGCACTGGGGAGTCGGGAGGTCACTCAATCAAGTGCGGTGCCCCACGTGCGCAACTTCACCTTCAGCCGGCCAGTGGCCCTATGCGATGCTTCCTTCTGCAAACTGCTCACCGTGCCCTGTGAGGCTCATGTACAGCAACAACATGCCCAACCAAATGAGCAGCGTCATGTTCCACTTCTCTACCAACCGGCCTCTCTTTGCAGACGGCTCAGGGGCAGCAAGGGGCTGCTGCGATTCGACGCTTGCAGAGTCTTTGCCTTGCCTCCGCGTTGTTTCGCCGAGGCCGGATCAGTTGTCTATCTGCGCCGAGACCCAAGCAGTTAGGAGCCGCCTTCTAACTCAAAGAAGTTCTTTTGAGTCGGGGACGTGCCGCATGCCTCTGCCAAAACCGAGGCCTCTCGGGCTTCACCTCACAGCGAGTGCAGGTGCCCGTGAAAGGGACCACAAAGGCCTGACTTGTCATTGCCGATCATGATGACCTTACTGGTGTGAGGTGGGTTGAGACTGTATGAGATTTGTGAAGACCTGTTGAAAGCAAGGTCATGTACGAGCATCGGTGGTAAGTAATCTACAAGCCCCTGTGATGTGCAATCGCAGCAGCCTTCTGCAACTCACAGCCTGGCCTAATCGCGGATGACTGCCGATCTCGTGGAGTTACGGAGCGGCAGGCGAACTTCAGGGAAGAGAGTGCAGTTTTCAACATCCCGGTGTGTCCTGACTCGCTTCGATTCACTACGTCTGCTTGCGGGATTGCTCTGTCTGTTTCGGGCACAGCCTTGAGGAACGTCGCCGTGCCAGGAGAACGAAATCGAGCTCCATGTGGTCAGGACCCTGTACTCGGATGAGCCGGGAGCTCGAAATGACGGGCGCGTTTCCGCAGGAGAGGCCTCTGCAAGGGCCATGTCTCTGGGCCATAGATCCTCCCAGGTATCTGGTGCAGGTCGAGCTCACAGCAGAGGCCTCAGTCTGGACACAGAAGTGCTGCCCACCTGAGGCTCCATTCCTAGCAAGATCTAGCAAGCAAGCTGGCCTGCCAAAATCTGCACGGAGCAACCCAGGAACTGATTCTCCCGCCAGCCCTCTACGTCGCGAGCTCAGCTAAGACTCCTGCAGCGAGGGCCTGTGAGCAGAAGGGGCGACGCACTTCGGTAGCATTGTGTCTCATCGTTTCTTCCATCTTCGTACCTGACGCGGCAAGGCGAACGACACTTCTCTGCTTGTCTGGAATTCAGATCCAGGGTGTTATCCTCAGATTGCACGAGACTTTTCAATGAATCTCAGACGGTCGTGTGGCTTCCACGCATCTCTTCACACAATAAGACGGCATAAAAGCAGTGATGCCCACGGCGGCATCACGATTTTTTTCCGGGCAGGGCTCCGCGGCAGCCCGTGGACGACTCTCCAATGGTCCTTGCCTCGGCTTAGACTTCGACTCGGCCCGCATCGGCGACAGGGTGAGTCGCAATTCTTTCCGAGGTCGGTATGGGTGACAAGACCTTCAGGCGATCCCAGCTGGCCTTCGACCCGGCAGAGCCCAGGCCCTGTGCCTTCCCGCGCCTAGCGGTTGACCATGGGACCATGGGAGTGTTGCAAAATGTGACCGGGCTCCTTGTAGGTTGGCTGCAAACGTCAGCTTCACCCTGGAGCCGACCATCGTCTTCTACCAAGGTGTCGACTCCTTACGGATGAGTCCGACAGAGCTTATGCTTTGCCCGCAGTTCTCCGTGCCTCTCCATCTCAGGACAGCATCGTCATTCACATGTACGGATTTGCGCCGGGAGCTGAGAGAGCTGACCCAGCTGAGCCACCCTTCTTGGGGATCTACCTACAAGAGAGAGCTGCAGATGCACCCTGACCTCGATCCCGCTCCTGGGCGCGCTGCCCAGCTCGGGCTCAGGGGTCGAAGCCGAAGTCAAGATCCCGGGGGCATTTACGGTTGTTGGAGTCTTCTTTTGGAGGCGCCGATGCGTTTCGAATTGAGAACCAGGCGGCCTCATGGACTCAGGAGGAGCCTGGGGAAATCGGTTGACAAGACTGCCAGGACACCTCTAGTCTAGCGCCCATCGGAGGACAGCATGCTGGTGTTCACGGTGGCGGAGAATGAGATCATCAGCAACGTCCGGAGCTCAAGTTGCAATTTGCAGCCAAGGGTGGGTGGGTAGAAGCACAGGCATTCACGATGCCTGGCTGCAAGCACTGTGGTCGTTAGCTGCAGCTGTGGTCTGCAAGGCCATGCCCTTCCGGGTGTCCATCGGCCGGGACAGCGTTTTCCGCCTGCCGGACAAGCAGCCTTCTCAGATTTTCAGAATGCCCACCAGCAGCTTCTGAATTTGGGAGGAACAAGGTCCAGGTGTGAGTCGGCCCTGATAAGCCCAGTCTTTTTGCGAGGCTCAGTGAGAATGACGGCATCCTACGCATCGAAGGCCCCTGGGGCTCCTGTCTTGCCACGACTTGGACTTGGGTTTCTTCCTCCGCCTTTTTTTTGGCCGAGGCAAGGGTGCGCTGATCGACCTCGAGCGCGGAGCTGGGCGAAGCTCTTCCTCTTGGGCCCCCCTTGAAGACAAGACGAGAGAGACAGAGATATGCCGAGGCCCATCAAAAAGATCCCGAAAGTGGGAACGGATAAGTTCGTCATCGAATCCATCGTCGAGTTTGAGCCGGAGGACTCGCAGGGGGCCCCGTGGTCCCTCTCGCAGTACCCCATGCAACGAACCTTGTTGGTTTAGGTCAATCAATGCTTTCACGAGAATCAGCTTCTCGCTAGTCTTGAACACGGACGTCCTCCCGAATTCGCGCCGGGCTCGGCTGGGGATGTTCCGGTTGAGGTCTTGGTTGTGAATGAGCTGCGGAGGTGGCAGCAAGAGTCGCGCACGCTAAGGACGATGTACATCAAGCTTGGTGGGCTTGTACGAGATCCTGGGCGAACGAACTTGATCGGCAGGACTCCCAGTGGATTCTAAGCGGGAGCGTGCCTGAAGTTAGCATCGACGGGGCTCTTCCCTTGCAGAGCATCCAGTCTTCATGTGGTCGAGGTCCCAGAAGCATCGGGAATGGTGTTGACTACGAATAAACGCTGAAGGTTAGGCTGTGGAGACTGCCACTAAACACCCACCAAACTGTGGACAACTGCAGGAGCATGGGATGGATGGAGAGTGGGTGGCGGTGGCGGTGGGTTGTCGAGCATGGGGTATGTATGTAATGCATGTAACACTATTCTTACTCGTATGTGATGTATGTATGTCTGTATGTTAGGTAGGTAGGTAGGTAGGTAGGTAGGTATTGTGAAGTATGTATGTATGGATGGATGGATGTATGTATGTATGTATGTAGGCAGGCAGGCAGGCAGGCAGGTATGTATGTACAGATTAATTACAGAGGCAAGTTTAAGCAAGCAAGAAAGCAACCAAGCAGGCAAGCAAGCACGAAAGCAAGCACGCATGCACCCACGCACGGAAGGAAAGAAGGAAGGAAGCAAGCAAGCAAATACATATAGCTAGACAGGGTAGATAAGTTAGACTAGATAGATAGTCGTATTTACGTGCAATGTGTTTATACACTTTACGTATCTGTACACACGTTAAATTGTATGCTGTCCTTGTCATTATTACTCTTCTTACCGCTCTTCCTGTTTGCCTTGTATCCAGCGACATCTTCCCAGACATGGCATAGATAGCTGGATGGCCCGAAACCCAACCCTAAACACAACAGCTGCAAAACTCACAGATGGACGGCCCAGGTGTTCAGGGCGCTGCGCGCTCCGGCACGGTGAAGATCTCCGGAGCTAACGGGCCACTTTTCCGAAACGAGGCACGCTGCTTGCAAGTCGCTGCAGTGCTATATGTTGAGTGGTTAGCACAGGCGTGCAATAAGACAGCAGGTCACAAAAGCTACAAAGACCAGGCAATACGACGCACATATATCATGCTTATGTACGTATGTATGCATGCATGCATGTATGCATGTATGCATGCATGGATGTATGCATGTATGAATGCATGTATGTGTGTATGATGTATGTATGTATGTATGTATGTATGTATGTATCTATGTATCTATGTATTTATGTATGTATGTATGAATGTAAGTAAGTAAGTAAGTAAGTAAGTAAGTATGTATGTATGTATGTATGCATGCATGCATGCATGCATGTATGTATGTGTGTATATGTGTGTCTGTGTGTGTCTATGTGTGTATCTGTGTATGTGTGTGTGTGTGGGTGTATGGGTGCACCATGTATGTGTGTATGTGTGCGTATGCGTGCATGTGTGTGGGTGTGTGTGTGTGTGTATGGGTGCGTATGTGTGCGTATGCGTGGGTATGTGTGTGTGTGTGTGTATGTGTATGTGTATGTGCATGTGTATGTGTATGTGTATGTGTATGTGTATGTGTATGTGTATATGTATATGTATATGTATATGTATTTTAATGTAAGTTGTCACAAAGAAATGAATAAGCACAGGCATAGGCTGACTTCAAAAAATTAATGGTTGAAATCAAAAACGCATAGGACATCAAGAGCCAAAACATCAGAAGCCTCTTTCAATATATTGTCTTTCACACCTCGTTTGTAGCAGTCTGTTGCCAGTGTTGCTCGCTTTGACGCATAACCTCGAGCCTCGATGCAGGAAGGATACTGGGACCAGGACATGGTCCTGTTGACGGTGCAGATGGTCTCCACAGTGCAGATCTTTGCGGGTGTTCAGTGCTCAGTGATTCAGGGGTCGATTCCTAGTGAATTGAAGTCTTGGCTGGCGCAATGCCGTGGAGCCGAGGAGCGTGTTCGCTTCTTTATCGAACGCGATCAGGACTTCAAGCTGCACGGAACACGGCTTTTGACGTGTCAAAAACGTCACAAGCTGGATCTGCTCTTGGATCTGGGGCCGTCATAAGGCCGTACTCGGCATACCAGAGCGATCCGTCTTTTCGATTGGCAGTGCCAGAGGTGCCAGAGAAGTGCTTCCATGCATGCGCTATGTCCGGCAAGTGCTGACTCACCCAGGCTGGCATTCCGGAGCGGCCATTTCAGTTCTCCACGCGCGTGAGCCAAGAAGGCAAGCTGTTCGTGGCGTGCTCAGGGGCTTCGGGGAAGAAAGGCCGTCGGAGATCTTCGCCGTGTGTTGCTAAGATCGTGTCAGAGATCTACTACGGATCTCGAGGTCGCATCCCTGGTCGCCACAGCCATTGAGCCGTGTCTTATAATGAGGGTGTATGACATGCAGGAGCGGTGGCATACCCAAACACCGTGGTGGAATTTAACTTCTGGTCGAACCGGCATTGCAACAACACTGCTTTGGGCATGTCTGCTCCGGGGATATGGCAGGTTCCGGCCAAATGTGCTATGCCCAGAGAGTTGCCCGGTAGCTCTGCCGCCCCGGCTGTGCCCGTGCCCTAGCCTAGGTCAACCTTCCTGCTGGGACCACGGTGCGATTGAAGTTTGCACCTCAGAGCCTGACAGTCTGCGCGAGGGCGACAAAAATCAGCCTCTGCTGGTCAGGCTTCCTGGCTTCACCTGCCCCTTTACGGATGTGGGGCACTGGGCTGGTTCTGCATGCTCACTACCCACGCCTTCTCCCTCCCGCGCAGGTCCCGATTGGAACACAGGAGGTGCCCGTGTCCAACGCTTACGACCTAAGCCTGGCTCCCAACTGCGAGTCTCGGGGCCACCTCGCTGTCCTCGCCTCCTGCTCGGTGTGCCGTAGGTGACTTCATCCGTACGGGCATTTGGGATCAGCTGGCAGAGACCTTCGACCTCGTGGCCGCTCAACTATCATCGTCGTGTGATCCCGAAACCTGGAAGTCTCTTTGCTACCTTGGCAGGTGCCCATCGGACAGCAGATCTATCGCCAGCAGCCAACGGCCCGATCCCCTGTTGAAAGCAAAGGATCCCGCTGAGCCGCTAAGCCACTGATCCCTCTGCGCTCATGGTCATACAAATCTCGGTGGAGCTTGAGTGGTCTCGAAAGGGCGGATGCATGAATCATCAGTTTTCATGACGGCGTGAGGTCTTGCGGATCATGGAGTCCAGTGGTTTCCGACTGCCGGCCACGCCACTTCTGCCGAACGACCCATCCCTCACCATTCGAGCAATTGGGCCGGGGCCTCTCCTGCGTGACCGTGACTAGCACCACATGCCCTGCGCTCTGTGTAAGGAATGTGGTGATCTTCGAGGTGCCCATGCGCAAGCTGTGGGTGCTTTCTTTCCTTCGCCTCCGCCCTCTCCAGGAGCCCATCAAGACGTCTCCTCGAGTAGTCGATCGCGACACGGCTGCAGAGTTGCACGGTCCAAGTGTCGGCTGCCGCGGTCTGCTTGGTGCAAGCTTGTCTCTCGAGGATCGTTCATGGTGTCGGAGTTCATCTATGCGTGCGGCTCCCAGCACTCGACATCGTCGATATCGACGCCCTCGGAAGGGGCCCTCTCAAGGCCGCCGCAGCAAGACAGCATCTTTCAGCTGAAGATGATCCTGCAGCCTACGGTGAACATCACCGAGGTGGGGCTCCCTGCGAAGGTCCACCCCGAGCTTCCAAGCCCGCATCCCCTGCAAGCCAGTGGCGGCACATGATCGTGTGACACTCCCCTCCTCTCCCTCTCCCCGTTGCTTCTCCTTGCGCGTAAGGTAGATTTGCTGTAGTCCTCCACCCCCGTCACTACGACCTGCACGACAAAAGGGCTGCCGGTGTGAAAATTGATGGCTCTGACAACAGCTGCCAACGTGTGACATTTCTTTTATCCATCTGGAAACACAAGCCTGTCCATGTCATTGTGCCGGTCATGCGCATGCTTGTGTGGGTTCAGGACAACGACATCATCATCTTCTTGCCGTGCTCCAAGAGAATGGGCACTGCACTGTCGTCAACGTGCGGAATGCACACATAGCCTCTACTTAGACTCTGCTTCGTCAACATAGATTGTGCAGAATGCCTGCCGGTAGTTTCGTGGTCATAACCATAGCAGCATTATGCCCCTGGTCCCATGATATCATCAGCATCATCACCCTGATCTTGTCTACATGCGTACTTCATGCATACATGCATACATCCATGCACTGCGTGCGGGCGCGCATACATACAGATTATGTTGGCAGATGTTTCGTAAGTGAGTATACGCAGTATCTGTCAACATGCCTGTGTTTAACGATGCTGTCTGGGTCTTTGCAAGTGTTGTTATTACTACATACATGCGGCATGAACCGGTCCAATAAATCATCACATGCACAATCATGCAGAAAGACAAGCAAGGCGCCAGAAGCAACCAATACGTAGAGGCAGGAACGTTTCCTTCGGCTTCATAGTTGAAGCACAGTATGCTGGGAGTGAGTTTCAAGCTCGAGAAACCTAAGGCAAGAGTTCGACCATACGCGTTTTTTCAATAGCATAGAAATGCTATCTGCGACAGTTGTTGGGAGGCATGCGCAGCAGTGCAGAGATCTGGTGTTAGCCGCAGCAAGCAAGAGGCATCTACAACGGAGAGTGATAGCAGAGCCATGCGAAGTTCCAGATCAGCGCATCGTTGCAGCGAGTAAGATCGACTTTGACGGGAGCAAAAGTGCTAAAGTGGCCGTGCTCGCCATGCTTCGGCCAGGAGGACCTCGATACCGTCGGACTCGATGGCTCAGAATTCTGGCGCTTTGCTTTATGACCTTTCAAGTGAGAGGCTTTGTCCTTGGAGCTTTGAGCCGGGTTGCTACCAGATCGGTCGGGTTGCAGGCAGCAGACAGTGACAAGAACTTTAACAAGCAAAAGTTCTTGAGGCGGCCAGAATTTGATCCGCTCTCTTTGCAAGACTTTCGTCGTGAAGCCTTACTGCAGTATTCGAACACAAACCAGTCGGAACCCTTGCGTATCCTGATTTTCCTGTTCCTGACCATCTGCGGCTTGTTCTCACCGACCTTCTTCCCATCGAATGCTGGACCACCATTCTTTGTGGCAGCCGCAACGGTAACACTGGCATCCGGGTTCCTGTTCCTCCGCGAACGAGGCAAGCGAACCGCGCAGTTGGTACGGCTGGAGCGCGAGTATTCCATTGGGGACCTCTCCGTGGAGCTGTCAGAGCCTGTTTCCGGTAGGTCGGAGAGCAAGGAGCTCCAGGCACGTGAAGAAATTCACAAAAAGACACCCTTCAAGCCTTAAAAATTCTTTGAAGCATCTTGAACCCCCAGACTTCCATTCTCCTTCAAGCCCGGACAGGCTCTCAGAGACCAGTACCGGCTGGTGGCCCTCTTCGGGAGTTTCGACCAGCTTGTGGAAGCACTGAGAGCGGCGCTGCCCTACAGGAGGCCCTGCTTGCGGTCCATTCGTGGTGGATAAGCAGACGCCCCTTCCCCCCTTCATTCGAAGGTAGCGTTTCTGTGACCTGGGCGAGCAGCAATTGCCGCAAAGCCCTGAACTAATTCGCTCGATGTAGAGGCGCTTCGAGCAGAGCCGCGTTCTGGTCCTCGCTGTGTCCGCGACCTTGGAGGACTCTGACAAGGCAGCGGGCATCGAGATAGCCCGCATCTACAAGCTACATGCTTCACGCAGATTTACGCATGCAGATAGCATCACGCACAATATCGCACAAACCATGCAATGTCCATCCTCTCCCTTCGCAATCTGCTTATGTCATTGACTGAATCCAACATGCAGAAAGAGGGCTCGACAATGAACCTCCTGCCATGTAGCTCGGAAATCAGCACTCGAACAAAGTTTCAAAATATGGAACTCACAGGTCAGAGGCTCAGATGCCTCAGCCTGCCCGAGCCATGTCCCTTTGCCATCTCAGCCAGTTTCAACTTCACCACCATCTCAATGTTGGGGTTTGAGCATTCGGAATAATTGCACAGAGTCCTTCGTCCGAAATCTTCATAGAAGAGCCTTGCGTGTGTGAAGTTGAAGCACCACCCCGAATGCAAGCACATTCGGCAAGACCCTCCATCGCAGCCTCCCGATGCGTTGGCGCCTCCGAGTCGAACCAACCGCAGCGCAACCCGCCGTTGCCGCCAAGAAGTCTGCACCAACCCCCTGAAGAAGTTCCACAGAGCCAGAGCGTGCAGGTGGCTTTTGCGGCTTTCGGCTCCGAGGCTTTGCTGCGGCAGGCTCTGGCGAAGTTTAGATGCGCAGTGAACTCATGGCCTGTCACAGATGTCACGTCAAGGGAGCCGCAGCTGTACAGTTCCGTCCATCGGTGTGACGAAGCCGCCTTGAAATATCTTGAAATCCTTGGAGAGCAGGCTGGGCCATGGCTGGCAAAGGCAAAGCAGCTACGACGCTGGAGGAGGGGTGGTGTTTGGTGACGTGTCTCCGTTGCTGTACTTGTAGCTGTGGCTGTCGTAGAAGGTTCCGAAGCAATCAAAGTGTAGTACCCGGCGTCAGCAACATATACTACAAGCCCGCAAAGCAGCGGTAGCGAGTCAGTGCTGTTCTCAGACCCTTTTGACGGTAGGAGCTATTTTGAGGCCTTGGCTGAAGACAAGAACAGCTCTGGAGACTGCCTGTGGGTAGGGCTGAACTTCCGTGGCCGGGTTTTTGGAAGCGACTTCGGCTGTCCCATCTGGGACGAGGTGCTGGCCGCCATGCCGCCGATCAAGCGCCTCAGCTCCTTGGAGGAGCGCTACGCCCTGGCCGACGCGGCGTCGGGCGCACTGGAAGCCCAAGAGGAGTTTTACCGGGCACTCTGTGAAGGGGACAAACAAGCTATGGCAGCAATCTTTGCAGCGGGTCTGCAGTGGCATGGCATGTGTGAGCTAAGGAGAGCCATCACGTGTTGGGGTTTTGCTGTGACACTTAGGACGAAAAAGACGACGCAGAGCTCACCACCGCCATCCAAGTCGATGGGCAGACAGGGAGCACGAACCTGAGCCTGTGGGAGGTGGTCCTGGCACCAGAGAACCGGCCGGAGCTGAGAACGGCGAGTTCAGACTGCGTGAGTTTATCAAAGACAAGCTCCATCACCACCTGTATCGAATTCCCGGTTCTCGGCCCAACACTCCTGGCAACTCAAACGTGGACGCGCAACGACGCCTCTGCACCATGGCGTTTGCAGAGCCATCGCAGTATCCCTTATGCGATGCAGATCGAGGCACGTGTCGCACTGCGCTGCGACCACAGGGGATGTATTGCTTTTGGCAAGCAGCTGGATGCGATGCGATAGCACCTAAGAATACCTTCAGATCCTAAATCCGCTGTTCTGACCGCCGGAGTTGCATGACCCAAAGCATTCGGTCAGCAACGCAGCCTGATTGCGGACATAGAAAATGACAGCTTTGCCTTCCTGGGAGGGAGTCATTGCCGCGCCCGAGGCCTGGGTTCCGAAACTCTTTGGCCAAAGTGAACATCCACATCATGGGTGAGGCAAGGTTATTGAGCAGCTTGAGGTGGAATGGGGTGGGTGTGTTATGTGTTGATAAGGGCTTGACCTTGTTGGGATCACTTGCACCCAGAGATGCCAACATGCCGACTGGCTGTTTGTGGGATGAGGTTTTCTGCATGATTGCTTGGATTCCTCGCATGCCCAGTCTTGTTGAAAGACTTCTCAGTCTAGAAGAAGCAGGACCGGTTCCGCATCGATAACTCGATGGGCTACTGGAATGAGACGACCGCAAGGTTGAGGCGAGTGCCTCAGACCTTCCATCATGCCACGTGTTGTTCGACGCCCGCGGCTTGCCCAGGTTATCGGTGCCGCTCAGAGAGGCAGACGTACAGAGCGCCATTCATGTCTACGCACCGCTCCATTAAGAGCGTGCTCTTTTCAGCAGGTAATCCCTGCCTTCACGATGATGGACCTGCGCATCGAAGAGAGCCAGGCCTGGCAGTGTTCCAAGTTTGGAGAATTTGAGTACTTTGTCTGTGACTGTTACGAACTGACTCAGGGCTTCCTTCTGCCAGCCGCCCTGAACGCAAACGCCTGGGACTGAGACCGTGGCACGAAGCTTCCGGTTCATGAGATCGAGCTTTGGAAGGATACCTCGCTTACGATCCAGTCCGTCAACAACATCCAGCAAGGGCCTCCGACTCCTGCGAGACTTGCTGAAGCTTACCATCGGCGTATGTAGAGAATTGCTGGACACATAGCTTCGCTACAGGGAAGAGCCCATCAAGACATCTCCCATGGTGGGCAATGGGCCTTTCGCAGGATATCCGGCCGAGCTTGGAAAGGTTTGGTAGCGGGTTCAGTTGAAGCCCGTTTCCATCTTCGCCTGTCCGTGACCAGGACACATGTTCTGCATGTACCAGTACGAGGTTGGCACCCGAAGCCCCTCGCCAGCCGGTGCCTGAGCCACAGCCCTCCGGCGAATCTCGTTCCGTCGGACTGCTTGCCCAGATCTGCGCGACAGCTTTGGACTGCAACCCGCCACTGACGGACCCCTGCAATCCACAGGAGCTCTTGAGGCGGTCACGGACAAGTAACGGTTGGCAACGCATGTGAGATTGATCCCCAAGATCTGGCCTGACAGGTGCGGATGTGATGCCAGGGTCGACGAGGTCTTTCCAATGTCGATTCTGGGTTTCAACCTGCAGCAGGAGGACATGTGGTTGCTGCCGGTGCAGCATTGCTTTGGCAAAGCTTTGGCAAAGACTTTCGTGCTCATGGTGACTATCAGTCATTTTGCCGTGAATCGCAAGATTTGATTCGAGCGCACTCAGAAAGCGGCTAACAATGTCAGAAGCTCCAGGACTCGGTGCACTTCCTCCCCAACCAGCAACGCTGCAGCTTCGACTTGATAGGCAATTCAGATGTATGCATGCATGCATCTACGTACGTGTGTGTGTACATATATATGTATGTATGTACGTATGTATGTAGGTAGAGGTAGGTAGGTATGTATGTATGCCATAGCATAAGTGAATACACTCATGAAGTGTTTGCGTATATACACAATAAACAAATATACAAATACCACCCCTCCCCGCCCTCCATGGTCCCGGTTCCCCCGCCCCTTGAGGTGGAGTGTGGGGTCCCTGTTCCCGCTGTGGGGTGAAGCTCAATGACCCCAAACTTCCTTCGGGCTTTCCCCCGAGGACCACAGTCCTGCAGTGTCCATATTATCAGGTACCCGTGTGTCAGTCGACGCGTACGCGGAGCGCTGCCAGTCACGAAAGCTCCCTCCTCAAAGCTTTCGGCTCGTGCTCTGCTTGCTGTTCGAAAAGAGGGTAGTTGGAGAAAGGGAGGGCCCGCGATGCTCATGATGCTGGCGTGTGGGTGTTGTTCCTGAGCAAAATAAGCCCGGTGTGTCACTGCTCTACAAGCTTTCGGGGCCTCCCTCCCCTGAGCTCAAATGGAGAGCGGACAACATTCGCGTCCAGCATTTGAGAGCACAGATTAACGGACGCATAGATTCCCTTTGGCAA